ATGGATGGATGGATGGATGGGTGGATTACCTGATACAAATGAATGGATGGAATAGGATGGGATAAGTGGGTTGGGGCGAATGGTTGGATGGATGTTATTAGCTAATGGGTGGATGAATGAGTAGATGGTTGGATGGATGGGATGAGATGGTATATGGATTGGATGATGATTGAATGGATGACATGAGATGGATGGATGGGTGGATGGGATGAGATGGATGGATGGATGGGTGGGTGGGATGGATTGGATGTTTGTGATGGGTTAATGGATAGCCAGGGGTGGATGGATGAATGGACGTGTCAATGGGATGGATAGATGGACAGATGGGATGAGATGAGATTGATGGGATGAGATGGATTGGATGTTTGTGATGGGTTAATACATGGCCATGGGTGAATGGATGTATGGACGTGTCAATGGGATGAGTAAATGGATGGATGGATGGATGGGTGGATGGATGGACGTGTCAATGGGATGAGTAAATGGATGGATGGATGGATGGCAACTACTGAAGATTTAGAAAAATGATCTTGTCGATTTAAGTTCTGCACTTTARATTACATATTACCTTAAGAAATTCTTTGATACACTGGTTGAGAGAGGTATGCCCTTGGATATTAAGATCAAGCTCATAAAACTCTGATAGCCGTTTGGATTTATGACCGCACTTGTCACACCTGAAACAATTATGGACTTCTGTCAGTAGACGGCAATAGGCCTCTATAGTTTGTTTTTCCATTTTAGACCACATGTCATTAATTTGAGAATAGGATTCTTTGTATCATTGGCATCCAAACAAAGAAATGATACTCAAGGGAATGACATATGGTCTGAAATAAATAAACATTACACCCAGGCTAAAGAGACCTCCTGTCATGCGGAATTTAAGCCAGATGAATGGGAAATTTTTAGTAGAAATGTACAGGAATGTTTGGAGAGAGGACAGAGTTCATCTTTCACTGAAGGATGGTAATGAGATTCATGAGATTCATTTAGCTAATTGATACCAAGCAATAGAGACTCTCTGGTTGATAGCACATGACGGGCAGTGTTTGCCTGTCATTGTAGGCTGGTAATGAGATTCATGAGATTCATTTAGCTAATTGATACCAAGCAATAGAATACTCTCTGGTTGATAACACATGACTGGCAGTGTTTGCCTGTCATTGTAGGCTGGTAATGAGATTCATGAGATTCATTCAGCTGAATGATACCAAGCAATAGATACTCTCTGGTTGATAGCACATGACGGGCAGTGTTTGCCTGTCATTGTAGGCTGGTAATGAGATTCATTCAGCTGAATGATACCAAGCAATAGAATACTCTCTGGTTGATAGCACATGACGGGCAGTGTTTGCCTGTCATTGTAGGCTGGTA